TTGCAGAGTTACGTCAAATTTCACGTGTTCGTACGTGAGTGGCAACGTGAGTGCTTTCCTCGCTCGTAGTTGCTCAAGCACGGTCCTGCGTAATGCTCAGAAAACTTCAGCACTCCAGCTGCTCTGGCTGCAGAAGTTACGTCAAATTCCACGTGCTCGTACGTGAGTGGCAACGTGAGTGCTTTCTTCGCTCGCGGTTGGTCAAACGCGGTCCTGGGTGGCGCTCAAAAAGTTTCAGCATACCATCTGCTCTGGTTGCAGAGTTACGCCAAATTTCACATGCTCGTACGTGAGTAGCAACGTGAATGCTTTCTTCGCCCGTAGTTGTTCAAACACGCTCCGGTTGAAGAGTTACGTCAAATTTCACGTGTTCGTACGTGAGTGGTAAAGTGAATGCTTTCTTCGCTTACAGTTACTCAAAGACGGCTTCCTGAGTAGCTCCCAGAAGGATTCCAGCACTCCAGCTGCTCTGGTTGCGGAGTTACGTCAAATTTCACGTGTTCGTACGTGAGTGGCAACGTGAGACTCCAGCTGCTCTGGTTGCGGAGTTACGTCAAATTTCACGTGCTCGTACGTGAGTAGCAACGTGAATGCTTTCTTCGCCCGTAGTTGTTCAAACACGCTCCGGTTGAAGAGTTACGTCAAATTTCACGTGTTCGTACGTGAGTGGTAAAGTGAATGCTTTCTTCGCTTACAGTTACTCAAAGACGGCTTCCTGAGTAGCTCCCAGAAGGATTCCAGCACTCCAGCTGCTCTGGTTGCGGAGTTACGTCAAATTTCACGTGTTCGTACGTGAGTGGCAACGTGAGTCTGTTGCAGAGTTACGTCAAATTCCACGTGTTCGTACGTGAGTGGCAACGTGAGTGCTTTTTTCGCCCGCAGTTGGTCAAACACGGTCCTGGGTAGCGCTCGAAAAGTTTCAGCACCCCAGCTACTCTGGTTGCGAAGTTACGTCAAATTTTACTTGTGCATACGTGTTCGTACGTGAGATGTAAAAGGGCTGACAAGTAATTTACTTCCGCGGACACAACAGTGGGCACCAAGTAACGCTGCAGAATTTCAGCTCTCCACAGTTTAT